CGACGCCCGTCGTTTCAAGCCGCACGCTTATGCTGTTCCTCTCCGTCACTTTTGCAGCACGTGGATACATTGATGGTGATATCGGCATGATAGTAGTGAACTGAGAGAACGCAATACCGCACAACCGACCTCGATTGATTAGTACCTGCAACGCCTCGGTTGTAAGCTAACCCACCCGCTCTCGGGGAGCAGTACATAATAGTGTGTATGGCCGGTCTTCTCTCCCCATCCCTCTCCAGCCGTTCGTATCTGCTGCAACCGGTCGTTACAACGGGGCCAGCAGCGTCGACAAGGGGCGTCGGACGGCATCCTGGAGGTGCTCGAAGCATCTGGCACGTCTTGGACAGCCTGCTAGTTGTGGGTTTGGTGTGGTCAAAGTGTTCGGGGTGTTTCGCGTGGTGCGTCCTTCCCATGTTCCTCTAAAATCGGGACGTGTGTGTTTTGCGTTCGTTGATATAAAAGGCACATGGCCAAGGGTATTGAACTGAAATCGGTCTTCGAGCAGAAGAGATAGTATTGGGAGAAGAAGAGAAGGTGTTGGATTGGGGAAGCGTTGACCTCATTTCCCTGAAACCCGCATGTGTTATTTGCATTTTTTTTTTTGTCAATAGCAGATTGCATAGGGTGAAGGTATGAAAACGGTCTTGAAGTGGTTTCCCTGAATCGGGACTTGTGTGGTCTGCAACTACTTGTGTGGTCTGCAGAGGGTGAAGGGGAAATATCGGTCTTGGAGCAGAAGAGAGGGTGTGTTCTTCTTATGTTGATTGGACACAACGATAGGAAATCTTTACAAATCCATCGTTCGTCGGCCTGAAACTCACGTACATCATCACTGCCGCCGGGACGTGACTGAAACCTGGTGTGGGGATACGGGGAGGAGGGGTGCCCCCCACCCTTTCCCCTGTCCCCCTCCCCTCCCCCCCCCTCGCTCCATTTCCTGCTTCGACAAGCAGCTGCGGGAAGGATGCCACCGCGCCAAGGACAACCTGGGTCATCTTGGTCGACCTGGACATCTCTTAGCTCGCCACGCCCACGTCTGTCAACACGGTAAGCTGCCGTCTGCGTCATTCAATGCACGGTGCCCTACGCTTCCTGCGGTATCTGTCATGTCGATGGCTTGAGAGTGGCAATTATGAGTGCGGGTTTGAAAGCATTCCCTTCGGGTGTTGACTGAGGTCAATTGTTAGTGCCGCTTGTTCTTTTCCCCACCCAATAACTCTCTCTATTTACTCTCTCGATCCATTTCGACTGGACAACCAACAGCATGTTGGTGTGATCCATGACATCCATCCCCGGATCCCCCTACACCATACTGTGTCCTATGTCTCTCTGCGACCACTCTCTCTCCCGGAAAGTACGAAAACACCACCTCACCGGTTTCACTTCTACGTCGCCGTACGCCGTCGTCCAACATTAACACCACCGCTGACACCATCATCATCAATGCCAACATCAGCATCGTGGTCACGGTCGAGACGACCATCAATGCGGAGACCAAGCCAATCCAGTCGCCAGATGAGTGCATCGTCGAGGCCGGCTTCTGGTCCAGACGTGTGCCTGAAGTGTGTTTCGGTCCGAGATGGTCATGGGAAGCGGGACATGTCTGTTGGTAGAGCGTGAAGGCGTGAAATTGGTCTTGATGCAGAATACGGTGTGTGTTGGGGCAGTGTTGAACTCGCTCCCTGAAGTCGGGACGTGTGTGCTTACTGCTTGTTTGCTGAAATCGTAGGCAGTTTGCAGAGGGTGAAGGGGTGAAATCGGACTTGAAAACGAATGAAGGGTGTGTATGGAGCAGTGTTGGAACCGTTTCCCTCAAATCGGGGCGTCTGTGCAAACTGTTGTTGGTTAAATCAAAGGTAGATTGCATAGGGTGAAACCAGGAAATCGGTCTTCAATCAAACTAGAGGGTGTGAGTTGGAGCAGCGTTGAAGTCGTTCCCCTGAAATCGGGACGCCGTGTTCTCGCGTCTGTTTGTAGAGTTGAAAGGTAGATTGCAGACGATGAAGGCATGAAATCGGTCTCCAAGCAGAAGAGAAGGTGTGTGATGGGGTAACCACAATATCGTTCGCAAATGGTGATATGAATCGCCATTGCAGAGTATAAAGGCGTCCATTGCAGAGTATAAACGCGTGAAATCGGTCTTCGGATAGAAGACAGGGTGTTCTTCAGCACAGTTGAAGTCGTTCCCCAAAAGTCCGGACGCGTGTGTTTGGCACACCTGATTGTTGAAATGGAAGGCAGACTGCAGAGGGTTAGGTTGAAGGCATAAAGTGGAAATCGGTTCCGTAGCGAGAAGCTGGTATGTCGGGACGGCGTTGAAGTCGTTTCCTTGAAATCGGGACGTGTGTGGTTCTGTGTCAGTTTGTTGAGAGATTGCAAAGTTTGAAGACCTTGAATCGGTCTTCATGCTGAAGAAAGGGTGTGGTGGGCAGGGTTCACGGATAAACTGATGGAGACGCTTTGTGTAAAATGCGTAGCCAGTTTTGTAGAGGATGTTTCTCGAGTGGTTATTTGTGTTTTTGTATTGGTTGGAAGATTATCCATAAAGGACTTCCAGATCGTATATTATATCAAGCAGGGGGGCTGTTTGGGGTCTTGGATACAAGATCCGATCTGCGGGGAATATGTGTGCGGGGGGTATCTTCTGCTGGGGGTTCCAAGTGCGGGGCCCCTCGAAAGAGTCCGCGCATGTGTTCAGCTGAATGTTCTGTGTCTGCGAGAGATACTGTGTATGCTGTGCTGGAAGAGCACGTTTGTGTTAATCAAGGTTATATATCATCTGCATCGGTCCTCTGGGTTAACATAGTCCCCAGACAGACATCATACCGTGGGTGGGCACGGTATCCTCCGTGGGTGGGCACGGCAACCTCCACCCAGTGGGTGGGCACGGGAGTACACAAACAAAGGGGTTCAGTCCGGCACAGCATTTCGCACCACTCGGTCCACCTCTTCGCTTGTATGTGGGACTGCGGTAATGCCGACACCCGCACCATGCCAGGTGAGAAGCGACCCATCCGTCCACAATTGCCCGTCAAAAAACTTGAAACAGCCGCAGTATCATCCAGTTCCCCTACTCAGCCAAGCAAATTAGCCCCACAGTCCTCCACCCTTGCACCGTATCCCTACTGCAGCTCTTTCCAACAGCGGTGTCGTACCAATTCAAGAAATGCACAACCTTGTTGGGATCGGCAATGCTATTTGCTCCACCGCTGGAACTTATCATTTGCTCCACAAGGCAGATCTCCGCCTACAAACCTCCAATCAACATCAAATCAAGTGCATCGTGTAGGTATGGGCTACAGCGAACTGAGAAGCTATTAGGAGCTGAATCGAGCCGGTGGCTGCAGAGATATGCTGAAAAGGGGGGTTCCGCATCATCTCAGAAAGTAGTACTCTTCTCGTACCTCCGTCCACACAGCTCCAATTGACCCCAACCCTTTTCATCGTGTTGGCACGGCCCATTCCGTTCTACAAGCTATCGGACACTCCCATCCGACATGTTCCTAAGGAGATATGGTCATCAGAGGGGGTCCCGGAGCATCTAGGGGGGGCGGGGTGTACTCATAGTCGTGCATGCCATACATTGACCCCGCATCCCTACGAAGCCGGGACGGAGCACGCCGGGTTCTCACCGGACCAGGCTTTACATCACCAAGCGCGAAGCGCCGTTAGGTATTTGGCGAGTCGCATGAAGGGTGCGCTGCATCCTGTTAGGGGTGTTCAGCATCTCGTGCTTTCTTCCTTGCGTACGGATGACAGCTGCGTATAACTTAATATGGCCAATCTGCTCCACCGGCCAGTAAGCCACCGAGCCCCGTGGGAGGGCGTTTATCTGCAGCCACTAGTCCGGTTGGGGTGCCCGACGGCTTGTATGATAGCTGTTAACCGTGCCAACACAACGTAAGTCTTCGTCGGGTAAACGGTGCCCTGTAGATAGATTTTGGCCTCGTGGAGCAGATGTGGCCAATCTGCTCCACCGGCCTGTGAACCACTGAGCCCTCGTTGGTGGGCTTTTCTCTGCACCCACTAGTCCGATTAGGGTGCCCCAATGGCTTCAACGATGGCTGGGGGCCGTGGGAACTCGGTGCGGTCAGATTGAGGCGTCGTTCAGCTATGTGACGGGAGGTATAGCGGGACAACTTCATTTACCCCCCCCCCTCGGTGTTTGCCATCGGGATTGGGTTTTCGTCGATTGGCAACGACGTTGTAAAACAAGCCAATTCACTTCGTGAACTCGGCAACCAGGTTACCGTTTTTTTTTTTACCTCGTTTTTTTTTTTTTGGCGGTAACCATAATGGTGGTCGAGTAGATCATGTTGTGCGGGGTCGAGAAACCTCACTCCGCGCAACGGGGGATGATCGCACCACGTTGTGTTAAAATGGTCAAGCTTCCTCGAGGCAGTTACACAGTGCTTACAACTGTCTCTGGAAGTGAACGCACCAGAAAATAAATTAAGTCATACGTAGCTGTCATCCGTACGAAAGGAAGTAAGCACAAGATGCCGAACACCCTTAGCAGGATGCAGCTCACCCTTCATGCGACTCGCCAAATACCTCACGGCGCTTCGCGCTTGGTGATGTGAGAGCCTGGTCCGGTGAGAACCCGGCGTGCTCCGTCCCGGCTTTGTAGGGATGCGAGGTCAATGGTCAAACGACTACGGCATGCACGACTATGAGTACACCCCCCCCCCCCCCCAGATGCTGCGGAACCCCCTCTGGTGACCATATCTCTGCAGGGATATGTCGGATGTGAGTATTTTATGAACGCTATGGGCCGTGCCAACACGATGCGAAAGGTTTGGCGTCAGTTGGAGCTGTGTGGACGGAGGTTCGAGACGATTACTACTTCCTGTGATGCTCCGGAACCCCATTTTTTCAACATATCTCTGCAGCCACTGGTTCGATTCAGCTTCTTCGAAGCAGCGTTTCAGATAGCTGTAGCCCATACCTACACGATGCAATTGGTTTGAGGTTGATTGAAGTTCTGTGGGCGGAGATCTGCCTGGTGGAGCAAAGACTGAATTACGGTGGAGCAATTATAACGGAGCAGCCCTCCAAGTGCTTGGTGAAGCCCTTTCACGCCTGGAATCTGACGAACTGAATCCCTACTTCAGTCGCAAAATTGCGCATCTAGATAAACGACGTGTACTTCACAGGGAGGCCGCCAGAAACGGTGCTACAATCAAGAAAGCGATCCCGCGAACAGCCGTGAGCACGACGCCTGGGGAGGATCTGCCGACGCGGGAAGCCGCTCCAGTGTCGGCAGCTACGTCCGCGTCATCGTCAGCTGTGTCTTCTTCGTCGTCGTCCGCCCTGTCCGCGTCGTCGCCAGCAACTGCATCCGCGTAGTCGTCAGCTGCACCCACATCGTCGTCTTCAGCTACGTCTGCGCCGTTAGTAGCTGTGCTCGCGTCGTCATCAAACAGTACGGTCACGCTACCCTCGTTGCACGTCAAGGCGGTACATGCGTCCTTCTCCGTTGAGGTGGCGGAATAATTTGCTTCACATATCGTGTGGTCCACGAAAGCCGTGTTTCCCAGGCAGTCTTTGGAGGACACCGAAGCTTTGCAGCAATCGGAAGCCGTGTACACAAAGCACCAGTCAACCTCTGTACCGTAGTCGATCTCGGGATAGTCCCCTATGCATTCGTTGTATTCATCCATAGACTCAGCCCAATCGTAGTAGCACGAGTTGCACACGGCGTCGTCGAAGCAAGCGTCCCACTCGTCATCACAAATCGCAGCGATGTGCTGCAGCATCATCGTGGCCGTGACGAAGAGAAAGAGAGCAAGTGGCCCTGTGGCCACGAGGAAATTCTTCAGTGTCTTGAGAGGCATTGTGGCTGCTGACCGGTCCCTACTCGCGAAGTACCTTCCTGCAAAGCAGCAGCAGGTACACGGTTTGTACAATCATCAGTATCCAGGCAGTCGGAATTAGTTGGGCGAATGTTGAACACCCAACACTGGTGTCGAGGGCTTTGGAAGCGAACGTGGGAGAACATGCGTGGCAGCCCGGACCATTTTCAAGCAACATAAGTACATCGGAAAGAATACTGACAATATGCAGTATCGGGCAAGAGGAAACACCTTCCGAGCGGGGCAGGTGACTGTCCGGCGGAGAAACAATCAGACCCTTCTAAGGAAGGGTCAGCTTATTTCTCTCCGTTTTCGTGCGGTTTTTCTCGGAGGAAAGGAGGGAGAGCAAGGTGGATACGAGGTACAAGGTCGATATATGGACGCCGTACGTCTAACGTTGTTCATACAATAGGATACATCAGGGGGTTGATGAGTGTAGGATAGTTGCAACCTGATGGTGCTTGGCGGAAAGGGTCGGAATTTCGGCTATCAGTAAAGTGCCTCAGGAACGGTACAAGAGCTGACAAGAGTACCACGGTAAGACTCACACACAAGAAAAAACGAAACACATCACAGTTCTTCGTCGTCAGTTGTATGCACGTCTTCCCACACACACCGCGCATGCGCCAAGCCCTCCGGCTCGGGGCTCAACTAAAAGACTCGTGCGTGATGCCACAGAAAGAGCGCGTTGATGCCCAAGTTTTTGGTGCGTTGCTTTTGCTACGAAGCTGTGAGACCGCCGATGGTCGCTTCCCGTGTGCGTTGCGCGTGCGTCTGTCGGTTGTCAGCTGTGCCACAACGCTCTCAACTCCCTCCTCTGAAAAAAACGTTATTGGATCTCATTACATTGAATTCGTGCAAACCTTTTTTGTGTGGGTTTATATGATGATGCTAGATGAGCAGAGCAAACTCAACTGTTTATTGTCTCATATTCCACTTGGCAATCGCAACGCAATGCTGATCGTTTTGCTACGCGACCGAAACGCAAAGCGAGCACGTCAATGAGGGCACAGGCGAAGCCCGCTTGTGCCTGCCCGCCTTCTTCGTTCTTTGTGCAACTGTTGCCGAAGCCTCATGTCGAGACAAGACGTCGTTGCTGCTCGGGTATCTCCGTTTCTGTGAGTACGGGGGACATGCCTGCCACGTGCTACGGGACGCTCAGAAAGTAGTGTGTTTTGACAGGAATATCGGCCAAAGAGCGGTATGGGTACTTGTATGTGTTCATTTGTGCTTGCTACAGGCAGGGAACGGCGGGATATGCGCCTACAGCCGAAAGTCGAGATTGCAGTCGCTACGGCAAGGAAAAACGACGAAGGGAGTCTCTACGACTCTCGGTGTCGTTCACATACTAGCCCTGGATGTGTTTCAGCTCTCGTCCAGCTCTGATATTCACGCTCTGTGTCTTCGCAGGTGCCGAAGGCAAGAATGTATGTCGCTTGGGCGTACCAGATGGAGCGTTTTGCGTCGATTTCCCTCGTGTTTCGCGTTAATCAGTAGGCATCGCCCAAACCACACACGCACACGCCAACTTTCAGGGCCTGAAAAAATCTGGGGTGGTGTACACCAACAGATGGTGTTTAACTTCGCACTCCCTTTAAAAATCTTAATCAACTCCGATTCTGTTTGATATTTCCCGGTTAGGCACGCGCACGCTACGTGTTGACCATAATTTTTCACAAATCTGCGCGACCATATTTAAAAAATTGGCCAGTTCGTATCCAAAAAACAAAAAAGAAGTCCAACAGACAGTATCTGGCGCCTTGATATCTAAGGAAATGTCTGCGGGTTTTGGGGGATTTGACGTGGTTTGTCCTCAGTACCGTAAGAGGCGGAGAGATGGCGCCCCCCATAGACCGACTTTCGAACTCGATTGCTCCACAGCCATGTGGGTAAGGAAAGAGCCCAACATACGTCTACGGGAAGCCCTCAAAGAGATGCTCCCAAAACCACGATAGTTGGTGTTAACACAAGTTTGATGATGAAGCAATCGAGCTTCGAAAAAGTTCTAGGGGGGGTGTCATCTCTCCGCCTCTTCCGGTACACTTGTTTTTCGTGCAAAAAATACACGTTTGAGACGGTCGAGGGTGCAGGTGCGAAGGTGTACCGATTCTGGTAAAAGTCAATCGACGGATACCCTGCGAATCGGGTCCTCCTTAACACTCTCCACCCACAGAATTTACCCTCAACTGGGAACCTCTTGTGGCCAGGACGGGTAATTCGATGGAAGTGTCACAAGGTTCTTTTTAGGATCGATTCCAAGAGGGGTTCTCAGGACTGACACACATGGTGTCCATGGGAAAATGTCCAAGTCAGGAGAAAAAACGTGCACCCAAGGAGATTCGAACCAGTATCCAGCTGACGCCATATTTCAAGGAGGGGAAGCCGTGGGTAGTAGCTTGCTCCTAGAGATAGATGAAGGTAGGTTCTGTCGTTGACACGCTTGTCCACGATCACGTTGAGATGGGAAAGTTGCTTGTTATTGCTGAGAGACGATCAGCAAGGGTCTGAGGTGAAGTGGGGATCCAACTTCACCTCAGGGGATACGCAGACTAGACAAATCCTAAGAGGGTAGGTGTCTGAAGGGTATACCTCCTGGGACCGACCCACATCCTATCAACAATAAGATGTACCCTATTTAAGCTAGCAGCCACACTCCTTAACACAGGCCTGCTGACACAATTAAGTTTTGATGGGTTTGGGATCTACATGTGCTTGTTGTGTCTATACCCATGTGTGTGTTTGTGTCAAGGTGCCCCCCGCTACAGGGCGAAAAGCAAGATCGCTGGAAGTTTGCAAACGCTAAAATCAAGCATGACATTAGAGTACTTAGTAATCATACTGCAACATGTCGGTTGCAGTACAACAATTCCAGATACGTGTATATCCCACAACAAAATAAACACACACATTTCTTGGCTAAGGTTTTTTTTTGGTATCGGTTCCCACTGGTACCGGTTCCCAACCTCGAACCAAAATTGAACCAATTTGCCTAATATCAATTATTTGCGAGTAGTGGGTAATTTGGTTCAATTTTTGAGATTAGGCAAATTGGTTCAATTTTGGTTCGGGGTGGGGTCTCAATAACAGCAATATTTGGCGGCGGGGGGGGGTGTCCGGGCTAATTATCTGAGGCCCCTGCAAGAAAAGTATCGGCGCGGGAAGGCGAGGTGGAGGGTGGAGGAATAACAATTGTGGACGAGGCGGCGACTGGCTGCGGACGCCACGATCGCCTCTTCCTCGTCGCCACGTAGAGCCGGTTCAACAACGCTATCCCGCCGCTGTCGTGCGTAAATGCGAGCGCGACACTCCCTCCCCTGCCTCGGGACAGCGAAATCAAAAACGCCAACACGAGCCCCCTGGAATTTTCGTCGCAAATAAATCTGTAATTTCCAAATTAATTCTTGTTCAACCGACAGAGACGACAGAGCATGTAGACACTCCATGTACGTATAGCAACGCTAGAAGAGATACTATGGTAGACAGGTTTGCGCTGAAGGACATCCACACACCACAGAGATGAAGACCTGTTCGTGCAGGGAGGTGGGGTGGTGCCGTCTCTGTGCCTTGGGATCACCTCGTACACAAAACCTCGCATGCGTCGATGGACACACGTCTAGTGTGTAGCTCTGACACAGATGAGATGAGAGCGAGGGAAGAGAGTAGCATACACACCTTCCGTCAACCCTGAGGTCGATCCGTGCGCTGGCTGTGGAACTCCTGTGTTTGGCGGCGGCTGCTGCTGCCGTGCGAGGCGGGGCCAGCAAAGAGTGTGCATGTGGGAAGACAGTAAGCAGTGGGCCGTTCGTCGAGAGAAAAGAGGAGTAATTGTAGAAGTATATTTTTTCTTGCCCTAACTATTTTTCAAATTCTTGAAGCAGAAAGTTCGCACAACTTTATTAGTCCCCCGGTTAGAAGTTGAAACCCGAAAAAAAAAATGGATTTGGTTTGACCACTGCCACTCTCTCTCTGACAATGGATGATACTTTTCTTTTCTTTTTCAAGTGTCGAATGCATGTGAGCGTCACCAAGCGTCACCAACGTGTGCTGTGAGCGCGGACGAGCAACATCATTTGTGTGTGCCACGGACCTCTTTTTGCCCTCCGCCTGCCACTCTTGTGTTTCTGCCACGTTTTTGGGCTCCCTCTGGCGCACACACAAGGTTGTTTGTATCATTTGCAGTCCGCATGGAGCCGACGGGGTATTTCACTCGTCACGCCGCGCAGCCGCGTTTGGCCGTGGGTGAGGGGTAGGGTAAGGGTTGGGTTACATACAGTAGGTCGGCCACGGTGTGTGACACATCCCATGTGTGGAGCGCCCAGGTTCTTCATCCGTTTAGACCGACAGAGCTATAGTCTCAGCGCTCGGCCAAGTGAGCAACCGCTGTTTGCTTCAAAGAGAGACCAAACTACAGCAGCTGCTGCTGCTGTTACGCTGCGCAACGACGCATCCGCAAGGAAGGCCAGGTGGGAGCTTTTCTGTGGCGGTCTTTGGGGGCAATTCAGCAAAGCGAATTCGACCGAAACCAAACCATAATTGGATTTTCGCAGCAAACTCCGTCCTCCGTATCACTCACCACTGGACCACCACTGGCTCACCTGTCGGTGGCGCAGAGAGCCAGCGCACGGTGCGGCGGGAGGTTCAAAAAATTATTGCTTCGTTTCGGGGCATGAAGCGGCGGAACTCCTAATTAAAGGATGTCTCGCCACTCGCCACCAGACTATATGCTCAGACTCAACTCGGTGTTTCGTGATCGATTGCTATGAGCCTTGCGCATGCGTACCCTTGGGACGAGACAACGAAGCAGTCGTGCATCTCAGTCAGGGGGTACACCTCGACGTCCTGAAATTGGCTAGGGAGGAGTGAAAGAACCAACACACTAAATAGACTACTGCTGTACTACAGTAGAGAGGCTCTTGTCCTTTATCTGTTGGAAGCAACAAAAACAGGCTTGGGTGGCGAGGATCGACGTTGGACGGAGTGATTTGCCGTTTCCCGGCCAAAACCAATTCGACCGGCCTGGAATTGGTTGAGTTATCTTGTATCTTCGATCGAGAGAGCGGTCAGAAAAGTGAGGCAGGCGGTGTGACTACGTTCAGGGATCCGATACACCGCTTGTTGTGCGCAGGCTTGTTGACGAAAACGATTAACAATGCAGTGTAGTCTATGTAATCGAAAACGATTGACGCGGGGATGAGACCCCACCCGCAACTATGTAGGAAACAGCGGGGAACCTTGGGATTTACCTGTGGCGCAGATGATTCCCGACGAATCTCAAGCCTTTGAGCCCGGCTGTGAGAGAAATGCCAATACAAAGAACCGTGATGTGCAGGACGAGAGATGCAGCATTCCAAGTTGAGTTTCGTCGACCCATGCCCTCGGATTTGCGCAGTGGCAAACTATGGAAGAGGTGACGTAACCCGGTCAGATTGAGGAATCTGTGCCTCCCGGCCACAAGCGCCTCTACCTGACTCGTGCAAGTTGAGAATATGAAAACCTGGAAAAAACGGGCATGTCAACCAGTGCAACTGGGAAGATCTTGGTACTTCCGAAGGAGTGCGGACCATGTCATCGCGACACTACTTTGCTCTGTGCTATTGATCCTTTCCGTCGGGGGGCGAGGTTCTTTTTTATAGCAACAGCGCGCTTTTCGAGACGACGTTTCAAGTGTGCGTGAGGGTGGCCGTTCGGCTACCCTTCCACCCATTTCGGGTGTCAATTTTTTCAACTTACGGGATGTTTTGGTGCACCAGCCCAGGCCACACAGGGCGAAGGTCATCCGCAGAATTCTCCCTACGTGTTGTTCACTCCTGACCACCTACAGAAACGTACAGCGCTATATCATCACCAATCCTCATAACAATACTCCACGCGTCGACCCACGCAGCGGTAGGCGTTTACCGTAGCAACAACAACTTTACAGGCCGACGCGAGTATTGACCCTTCCGGTGGAAACCATGTGGTTCGCCTCAATGGCCGCAATCTGGCGAGTTTCCCCGCCCCCCACGGCCCCTACATCCGGCGCGGCCATGTTGACCCTGCCGTTCACCACGAGCAGAGGGTTAGGAGCAGAAACCACGTCTTCCGGCACGCTAATCCCATCCAGATACTGAGGTGGCGCATAATAGGGCACCCACATGCAAATGCATAGATACCACGCGCGTGGGCGGACGGGAGGGGGGAGATAGTCTTCGTTATGTTCCTGTCGCACTCCTATCGGTGCTAGTGTCGGCTAACGAGCAAGGAGGTGTCTGTCGCGAAATGATGAATGCCTGGGTTCGGCATTGTTTGTTTGCCCCGGTATGCGAATGTGCGACAGCCCTTCGCAACATAGACTACAGGACAGGAGGGACGGGGTGCTCACAATATCTACTACTCGCGTGTGTCTCTACCTCTCTATTTGTAGCCATACACTTTCGAAGTTCTTCTGGGTCGACTCCATCGCCTACCATCCAGTGAACCTAAAACGTCCGTGAAAGGACGTCCATATTCTGCCCCAGCCCTTCGCTTGTTTCTTCGGTCAATGGAAACTGCGGACTCACCTGCTTCACGATGCTTTGCAGATCCCTGTTCTCGGCCTCAAGGCGGTTCTGCTCGCGTTCCACCGCCAGCTTGTCGAGCAACGCCTGCTTGGGGTTGGGCGGTTTGGGAATGGGCGGGTGGTGCTTCGGGTGGATCTTCGACTCGCACTTATTTGTTAAACAGTGAAGCCGCCGACGTGTCCTGTCCTACGAGTACTGATGGGTAAAACGATGCACGACTGGTACCAAAGGGCGTCAATTCCAACCCGTACCCTCGCTCTGAAGAAAATGTGGAAACGTTTGTTTCATTCAACAGTCATGTTGTTGTTTTACGTATCATGCTAGGATTAGCAAGTAGGAGGACGACATTCCTTGCTACACCGATCTTGCTGAGCAATACTACTCAACCTTTGAAAATTACTCTCAACGCCCTTCACTTGCCTTGTTGTAGCGCTTGTGAAAGTTATCTAGGTGGTTCCATCTTGGCACCGGCTGGCCGTTCTTCCCCCAGGCCGACGACTGCAGAGGACTTGGGACTACAGCTTCCTCCTCCCCTACCCCTTTGGGCTTCTGTATTGCGTACCGGGGGGGAAAGGAAAGGGAACGGGATTCATACCAATAGGAAACGTCCCAGGACTGTAATGCGCACGTGTGGCGGATCATGCGAAGATCGTTCAGTGAGTATACTATTGCACGCGGATCTTCAATTCATTCCATTCCATTTCTCATTCCATTCCATTTCTCTTATTTTGCCAAACAACCCGTATGGTCTAGACTACAGTAGTTGAGCCATGTGCCGTTGGGAATAACCCCAAGTAGGCCCTTTTGAACGCCGACAAGAGCAAAGAGTGGCCGTAGGAATCTCTTCGTCACCTCGCCAGCGTCCTTTTCTGCTTCCGCTTACATGGCGCTTTTGCCGGCGCTTGACGTGCTGGTCAAGTACTACTTTAGACCATCCTCGGGTAAAGCGGGCGCGGGACTCGTGGATCACTCTTCAACAGTTCAAGGTTGAGGCCAATCTTCAACGAACCTGCCTCATCATTGTCCACACACGCACACACGAACGGTTCGTCGTGTCTCACACACGGGGTGATTTCAATAGGAGAACGCGGGGAAGAACGACGGACAGGAATGCCCCGCGTACCTTCTTGCCACCAATTAGATCCCGCTCCGCCTTCAAGATTCTCTCTGCCTCTTCTTCCACTTCATCAGTGTTGGCACTAACGTAGAACGGCAGTACCTGCTTGATTGGTAGAATTGCACAGTGTTGGATATAGCGCCAGATATTCCAGCTGATGGCCGAGAGCTAGGTTGGGCATTCGAGTGAATCAGCGTTTGGGACTAGGCGAAATCCGCGCGTTGACGGGAGGAAGGAAGGGAACAAATAGTGTACGTGATGATACGTCGACAAAAAAAAACGTGAGTATTTCAGATGGATCCTACCTAAGGGGGGAGGAGTCTGAAATTGGTGTTTATTGGAGTTGACAAAAGAAGTGGGCATTTATATTATATGGCAAAGAGTATGTCTGCGTGCTTGCAGGAGAGGAGGCATGCGCGCCGAGATAAGGCAGCTGCTCGCAGGACATTCTGTTCGCGCCCGATCACGTTGAAGCACCAGCAGTGCTGGGAGCACAGGGACTGCTAGACGTACGATTAGACCACACTGCCAGCTGCTGGTTTAGGACATTCTGTTCCGGGAGCTAGTGTTGTTGCCTTTTCCGACGGGGCGGAGACCACTACCGCTGGGCGGGAGGAGTCGCTACGTCGAGACTGGCGGAACATCGGCTACGCTTGGTACGTACGACTGACTGTGATGTTGCGTGTTATCCCAGCAGCACAACAGCAAGAGCTGGCTTTCACAGACAGCGTTTATTGCACACAATGACAAGCGTCGTTATTGTATAAGGCACACGGGGGCCGAGGCCGTAAGGACTCAAGTGCCATGTGAAGTTGGCGGGCGGGTGTGGGCATGCTGTATCGATGTTGTTGACTGCTGTTGGGTTTGATCGGGAAGAGAGTCCGAAGAAAGACGCAACCGGTTACTTGTGCTTAATGGCGCCACTTTCCGCCGGATATTGCTGACCATCATAACAGGCTTTCGATCGGTGCGTGGGAGCTGAAGTAAAGGCATGCCATCTTGCCTTCTCTTGCTCGGTCTCGGCCTTCCTCGCAAGCTCCGCTAGGGTTAGGATCTGATTCGCCATTTTTAGTTGTTCCTGCAATTTGTTCTGCACAGCGTTGGCATTCTGTAAACGAAAGAGGTGTAGAAAACGGAGTGGGACCAAGGAACGAAAGGTTGTTCAGTAGCTGTCATGACAACTGCCCCAAGGGGGGTGTTCGTATCCTGTCGTCTGTGAGTGGTGAATGAATGGTGCAGATAGACGATTAGCCCTTTGAAAAGCTTCCACCGAAGCCAAAACGTTCGAGAAAAGTAAATATTTTCGTGGACAGGTCCATCGATGGGATGTTACCCTTAAGTTCATTCAGGATTCCATGGACTGCCAGGGAAGCTCATGAACGTTCATCGCGTCCGCAAGTTTCCGTGGAAACCAACTTGCATGGCGCCAAATTCCATCCAAACCCGGGGTCATAACCTTTTACAACCCAACCCCTTGACCCTGAACCCCAATATCGACGACATATGCATAAAGCAGTTAATTTTGTCACTGTAGAACGCTTGGTTTGGACTCCCCCACCCTGTTCCATCATCTACTCTGGCGCCAGTCTACATTTTTTGGGATGTGTTTGACGCACCGGCCGGGCTCACGTTGGATAAATCACTAAATTTTCTTCCTGAGTCGTAGCCCTTAAACCAATGACCAGGGAAGGACTCGACAATGTCCCTTGGCTGTTTTTGGTATTTATCCTCACTACTCACCGAAGGCCTCGTAAGCAAGTTTCATTTTAGAATTGTGAGCACGTCAGTACTATATGAAATGCACAGCCCCCCAACGCGCTACACGTCATAACTAGAACCATGCCCAGACACCGTTACACGTCGCAGCAGGTAACATTTCGGATAAATGAGGTGGGTCAAAGGTACTGATACACACAGCCCACCTGAGAACCGTTGATATGTGTGAAAAAGAAGTTAATATTTGCTGCAGAAAATAAATGATGAAACAACGTGACTCAACGCACCTGAGTAAGCTCCCCCAGGCGCTTGGCTTGCGCGGCTCTGAACTTGTTCATCCTCCCCTTCAGGTGTTGAAAGTGTCCCTGAATTGCGTTCCTCTCCTCCATCAAAAAGCTGTTCCGCTCCGCGTTCTCTTTCACATTTTGCGCGATCTGTCGCGTGGAAAAGCGTAGTGAGTGTGAAAAATCGTGTGATGTTCACTCTCATATTTTGATTCTGTTGTACACATCTGCCCATGCGATTGGTGTTCTATTTGGTAGCATCACAGTTCAGAGTGACACCGTTCTGTATGCGCAGTACCGCCCTTCAGAAGAGACTGCTGTGCTCCATGATATCTTTCACGCATCATGTCTAGAAAGTAACAAAGTGCCGTAGTAAAGTAATGTCACCCTTTGTGCTTCGTTGACGCCTCGTGTTGGTGTGGAGGGGGGCGACTCAAATCTGGCCAGATGTGTTGCGTGTTCAGTAACTATAGCTCCATTTATTTTCGCCAAGCCGGTGACCAACAGCCTTGTTTCCGTCTCACCTATTCAGGAAGTCCGTACGCTATGGGCAACGTTGTATGTTTTCGTTCCTTTGAACGGTGATTGGCACACGATCGGTTAACGTAGTCGGTCCAATGGGGGCCGTGCAGTCTGCAAGCAGCATTTGCGTTCGTGTGAAATGGGGCATCGGGTTTTATACCTTTGTTCGCCAGTGTTGGAGACTGCTCTGCAGGCGCTCAATCTTGCGTATCTTGACTTCGATTTCCCGGCTTAGTTCCTGATCTTTGGAAGTGAGGTACTTGAAGTCCGTCGTTCGTTGATCCGTGTTCTATAATAGGAAGAAGAACGAGGGTCAGGGAAAGTGTCGGTATAGCAATGGTGGTTGGATAGGCAGAGGCTGCAAGCAGGCTCATCTGTATTCATTATGAATCCTCTTTTTCGACGATGCGTCTGGCTGTCTGGGTTGCGGAAGCTGCAACCGACTTCGGTGGAATTTCTATGATCAGATAATAGTTACCTTCGAATTCACCGTAAACTTTGCCATACAAACCAAAATGTAGGGCATAGGATTTATCTTTGACTCCACCACAAAGTGCAACAGGTGAGGCGTGCACACATCTGCTAGCTATCTGACGGAAACAACCGTTTAGTCTACATGAGGGTCTTGCAAATCTACACGTTGACGCACCTGCAGGTAGTTGATGTGCGCCGTCTCGAAGTGCTGCTCTAGGTCTTCGATTTGAGTGTCTAGCGTGATGCGAAGGACGTTTATCTCCTCCAAGTTCTATGCGGAGGTATAAGCCCGGAGACGAACGGATCAACGATCACCGAGAGACAAATCGATTGATCGATCCCACCCAGCAGCGGACGTGGAAGTCAGACAGCAGAGAGAGGGCAGGCGGGCGTAATGACGCACATTGGGGTCGGGTGTGGATGTTCGTGGGGATTGGCAACCGACCCGAGTTTGGCTCATTGACCATGCATCATATACCTTAACGTCATTTGCACGCTTGGTAGCGAACTGTGGGCGTCTGACGGGCAAGAGAAAAGTGGAGTATCATCGTGTAATCACCACCGTTTGTCCACAAATTGAAGCGAATCATTCTGCATACCACCCCATCTAGTCTTTCCATACAATGCAGAGCGGAATTATTAACGTTTCCCAAACTGGGCTCACCGTATTGGTCGATCAGGGACCAACGTACTTCACACATGTTCACAACACCTAGGCCCATGTGAGTGAATAAAAATTGCTTCCAAAACAGGACTCTGGCGAGGTACTACTGTACATGCATATCATTGGCGCCAAGGCATCATACGTAAAGCCGACTACTTCTTGGCGCCCGCACGCTTCGCTAGCAATGACGACGTTCCATTCGCTCTCGAAAATTCACAGATTTTCACTTCTCTTGGCAGAGCACCATGGCCCCAGGCCGACCTATGAACCACACGTACTCCATGGTGGAACGACTCCGCCTCTTGGGGAAGCACACAAATACCTTATTTCGGATCTCTTCACGCTGCTGCTCGTGCTCCTGCTTTGCGTCGGCCTCTCGTTCTTCCTCTTGTGCCTGTGTCGTGGATGCAATGTACAGAAAGATCGTTCAGTTGGTGTGCTCATCATAGCGTTGCCGCGTTCCCTTGGAGACCATCTGCAGACGGCCTACAAAAAAAACAAGCATCCCCCGCACATTGTCTCAAATAATATCTCCTGTTCACGGGACTGGAGGAGCTCGAAGATTGCTCTTCCGTGTCCTTTGTGGGTGTGCGCGTTGTAGCCTGCGATCGTCGCATCTAGTGTCTCCGAACTTCATGGAGGAATAGCGGAAGCAACTGAACACCCCCTCGTAATCACATGTTGGTGTTTGCAACGCAACTTCGCACAACATGCATGACACACCTCTACGGCGGCGATGATGTCGCTCAGCTCTTGCACCTCCGCCGCGTGCTGCTTGACTACATGCTTTCGCTCTTCTGCAAACTCCTGTTGCCTCAAACACATTAATTCATGTAAACCGATGTCATCATCGGCTGTGTGCGTCCTTAGAGGAACTTGAGTTGTCGTCAGGCGCGTGTACAAACTTGTTTTCCGATTCTAGGAATGGTATCGTCGACTACCCCCTTCTCGAAATCATGAACAATGGTTTATGGCAATGTCCACTGAAGGAAAGGTGCTTCCTCCATCCCATGGGAATTGCCCGGTGAACGGATTACCCGCTTCGAAGGCCATCAACAATAGAAAACACCTCTTGTGTGCTTATGGTGCATGAAACAGCAACGAAAGGGACAAGCAGTAGGGGGTTCCGCCTGGCCACCAAGTCCATCTCTATCGGAAACAGGGATTTCAAATACCCTTCAGTAACATCGATTCAGCCTCGATAACTGAGGCATGACTAACAGTCGTGATCCCACCGATGCAACGAAAATGACACCAATCTCCTCTCATGGTAGTGGCGCACCTTTTGTAGCGTCTTGAGCTCCACCTCAAATTCCTGCTCGAGCGCTAGCAGCCTGGAGTCTTGCAAATCAATGAGCTGATCCATGTTCTGGAGGTGCGCCCGAAGAGCCGTCTGGAACTGATCCTCGGCCTGTTTTGGGTCGCATCGGGTTGGGAGGATGGGCAAAGCAGCCAAGATCGGGGAGGGAGGTGCGGGGGGAGGAAAACCTAGGCGCTGTATCCCACTCAATTGCCCACCTATCCTTACCGAGGTACGTCATGTTGTCTACACCCCACCACGCCCGGTGTTCTGGTGTTTTTGGCCCTTTGAACCCAAAGAGCTCCTCCAATCAACCTTTTAATACCCATATTCTGTTCTGGATGAGGGGGGTACATAGGTATGAGGAAGATGAATCTCAAGCACATATTCGCGTTACACTTTGGGTTTGATAATGGTGAGGCAGGGAGCTGGGTGCGCAATCCTTTGCATCGCCATTCGTTCTTATCCCGGCTCGTGCATGAACTCCCCAGAAGGACTTCCGCGGGCTTCGTCATCACCCTTCAATGCTTCAACAACTTCCAGTCTACCGCTACGGCAATTGTTAAGAGTAGTAGCGTTACACACATGTTCAGCCTGTGTTTAGCACGACCCCGCTTCTCTGTGTCTGTGTTTCTGTCCCTCCCCTTTTCTCTCTACATACTTATTTCGTCTTGCTTCTCCCTCACTTATTTTTCCCTGTTGTGCGTTCGTGACAGATAAGCCGAACATCCCATCGCAACGCAAGTCGTCCACCGATGTCATCTCGAAAACAGAACAAGATGAACCAAAGCTTCCGGCCTCACCACATGGATATAACACAAGCCTACGCATGCGGAAATCACTCACCTCCTCGAGGTCTCGGTCAAGCATCTGAATGATGGCATCCTTTCGGTCCACGTCTCGCTCGTGGTTCTGCGAGAGGATCTCGATGTCCTTGCGAAGACTTTCCACCTGACACACGACGCAAAAGTGTCATGCTTCAAGGACGCCGACATCGCCGAGAAGCACCTTTCAGCTCGGAATTTTCTATATTTTGGGCCCAGGGAACATCGAACAGCAGGAATCCGATACCGCTAACGATACTCTCCAGCTGAGAGCAGATGAACCTGGACAACTCTTCCGTTGGTTGGCGATCAGCGTTTTCCTGGGTAGTACTGTGTGTTCATTTCTTAGCGCAGCGAGACGATTCCGTCGCTCGAGAAAAGTTGTGCTCGCCCCTGCTCGTCGGAACAATGAACCCCGTACTACGGATGTTGCGCGGTTTGCTCCCCGACTATTCGCGCGGCTTGACTTGGTTGACAATCAACGGAATGACTTCAAGAAGGGAAAAAATCTATTGAACCGTGCACTAAGAATTCGAGTCGCCTTGGCGGGATTTAGGCGGCCATATCGACCCTGTATTTTTTCAACCCCCCCCAGTGCCCCCCGCTGCATCCGGTCTTGGGCCGTCAACACTAGCCCCCCCGGTCTCTTCTTGGTCACCTTCGCCAGGCGCATGATTTTTCTCCACTGGTTCTGGATCTTGAGCCGGTTCATTTTGCTGTTCTTCTCCTCCTGGTCGATGCGGCGTCGCAGCTCTGCCTTCGCAGCGATGGCCTGCTGCCTACAGGATGTTTTCGGTTGATCGCCGTTGTTATGATGCAGCCAAGCAGGGTGCTGTTGTTGTCAAGCACTGTCCCGCTCCCTACCCCAGACCTATTGGCATAGCTTAACGATCGGACCCGTGGTCCCAAGTGCAGGCGTCCCCTCTCAAACGTGACTGGAAGCGGCGGTGGCTTCAGTTTCCGCGAACGTGGAGCGAAAGATGTTGTTTGCCATCAGTCAAGAACCGACACAATAGAGGAAAGTTCCACGTTCGCGACATTTTCTGGGGCACAAACACGCCGTCAATATGTTTTTGGGGGTAGGTTAGGGCGTGCGTCAGAGATAAGTCCATTGATCATGGAGTAAGCAAGGTGGTTCAAATTGGGGGCAATTTCTTACGGGTAGGTTGTCGTGGGAAAGCGACCAAAGGCACAAGCCAACCACAGCTCAAAACTTGCCTTGTTTTCACTTTGTTGCAGGATTGCATACATACGTCTCCAAGTTACAACGTTCATGGTGAGGTTTCGTTTCACTCAGAGGAAGTTGAAGGGCTGTTCCTTCGTCTATCGAAATGCTCGCGGCACTGCGTGTAATCGATACTCCACATAAGGAAATTTTAGACCACCGATTGGAGCGTTGCTTTCACAATAGACGGACCTGGCCATATCCATCTCCTGCATCTTTGCGTACTTGGCCTGCAGCTCTGCGTATTCCTTGGGTTTCTCGGCGCCTTTCTTTTTCACCTGTACCGGAAAGTAGTTGGACAAACGATCGTGAGTATCTAAGTGGCGTGCGCTGAGCCTAAACACTCGAGGTAATAAACCCCTGACAAGATGCTCAACTACGTTGCTTTCCAACACTTCTAGGGATTCACGTCTAGTTTGGTGAAGGAAACTCGTTTGGGTGGGTTGCGAAGAAAGTTCAGAATTTGCATCGGAGAGAACAGCTTGAGGCTTTCTTAGACAAGGTGGCTGAACAGTGAACCAAGAGAGGATAGTTGTGTGTCCCGATAAACACCTGCCTTCCTCGATAAATGCCGATCAATTTGCATGTGCTTATCCCCGAAAGTCAGGCTTGCCGATTAAAACTGCAATCGTCTCGTAGAAATAACTTTTACGGTGGTGTCAATGTACGAACGACTTCGAAGTACATAGCAGCAGGTAACGTACAGAACCACAGCATACTCGTTGACGGGATATGGAGAGAACAGCCGAACAGTATTGGCACAAAAATTGATCCGAATATGCATTGAATACAAGGATTACCGTAGGTTTCATAAGTTATCACACACCCTGATTTCGAGGCTGTATTTCTCCACGACGAAGAGGATTCCAAAACCATATGATATGTGCTACAGTAGAACGCACTCGAAAAGACGATTCCAACGCCACCATTTACGTCGCTGTTGTTTTTCCCAGGAGCAATTGTGAGCTTTGGAAATCGGTCCAGCGGATGGTATGTTGTTGCAATCTAAGGTATGTTGCAATGGGTACTCGGAGACAATAACATTCCCACCTGGCTTCGGCCCTTGACCACCTTTCCGAGTTGAGCCCCTCCCCTGAGTCTACCGAGAACGTGTACGGTGCTGTCAGCCTGGAGACCGTATCCCAGTAGAGGCCGTCCCCTCTGTAGATCCTTGCCCGCAAAGACCAGGCGAATATCGGCGTCGATAATAGTATCACCTCCACCGTCCTCCCCTACATGCTTGTCAAAATCTGTAGATGAGCGTCTCTTATTCGCGATGGTCCTTTGCGATGAAAGCCATGGTGGGTCGGAGGAGACGCAACCGCCGTCCGCTCCTGGGTAGATGTTGGCCCCCCAGGCTTGTCGGAGTCGTGAAACATCATCGGTGCAGAGGTCCACATCCCGGACGGTGATGCACTGTTCATTCGAAGGATTGTGGTGGACGATGCACCGCATCCAGCACAAGGAGGGTGCTCAACTTAGCGATGATCCAGCGACTCTCTCACGCATTGTGCCAACCGTAGCTGCTCGGGCAGGCGAAGAGCATGGGTTACTTAGGGCATTACGAAGTCATGGGACGTGAATATTCTCTACACAGCAGTGGAGTGGACAACTCACCTGCCCTTGAGGGGAAGCTAGAAAGAGCTGCACACGGCCGGGTGAAACAATGCCATTGGCTGGAGAATTTGCCATTACTCTCGGCGGAGAGATATCTTTGCGATGGAGGACAAGCAGGTACAGACCCTCCTTGAAAGCAGCTTTGGGACGGCACAGTCGTAACCTTTGCTGCCGTTGTCACACAACCTCGGCAAGACGAGGAACTTCTATGATTGCCGTAATGTGTCAGCCCTAATGCATTTTCTACGGAGCGGCGTGTTGGTCGCGCCCATAAGAAAGCGAGAGAAGGACAGAACATCTCAAGTTCCGTTTCGACCAAAATAACTGTTTCTGCCGATTTTGCGGCGCAACTCATGCCGGTTCTGAGTCAACCACCGGCGAATGACCACCAGGACATGAGGCAGTCGTAATCATCGGCTGGTGTGCTCTTGACAGCAGTCCAGCATAAGAACGATGCCACCATCTGTCGGTGACACTAGTGTCAAGGGGGTTGCTGGGCTCAGTTATGGCGGGACAGCCACAAACGTCGGCAAGGTCGCGTCTGCTCTCCTTGCCAAACATGTGCGCACGCTGGAGGTCCTTCACTCGCTTCAAAAGAGCAACGCTCAGCTTAGGCAAGACATCCAGGTATGAGGTCAAACACATCTGAAGCTACACATCTTATGATGTATAAGTGGTCGACAGTAGATTAAATACTAGATCAGGCCTCCTCGTCACTGTTGTACCAGTACACGTTTGGTTCAGAGCAAGCAACAATCCAAGAGACTTTGACATATCTTCAGGTTCACAATGCAGGCTCTGGAGAATCACCTTGTTTCAACAAGCTGCGCATGGAACCCCCCAGTAATACGATGCTGAATACTGTGGCGCAACGAAAAAACAGGATAAGTCGGGAGAGGAAGAGGTACAACGGAGAATTGCCGAGGCCATTGCCGCAGCCGTTGCCGCGCCGAATGACCTCAGTGAAGAGGTGGGTGAATTTGAGATAGTAGTGCCGCCCAAAATATACACATCACTTGCAGTCAGTAGGTGGCGCGGTACTGCATGCCCTTCGACTACGGCGTGGGAATTATTTAAATACGTCTACAGTGGCTCGAACCACCTGTTGACTCAATAAATCGCGTCGATTATTGAAACAATGTGCTTTCAACAACCATTGATTCGAGGCCCCCCGTCGAGACTAGACAGTCGAGAGCAGCGCAGAGTCTGGAAAGCTCACGTCTGACTGCCAACTCATTGATAAGCAATTACTTCGTTAGGCTACAACGCCGCCCACATCCGGAAAACGCGGATACACGAGGACGACTCAGCAACACTGCATTCCATCAGCGTTACACTGGTCCTCATGTGGCTCGACGCCCACAGCAAGACTCTCTGAGCGACCTTGATGGAGGAGACCGACCGATGAGGACCACAAATACGGGCATTGCGACTTGAGCTGTCCGGCGTGTTCGGAAGGGGTTACCGATTAGACTACTCATCAGCGCTGCGTGTAGTCTTAATGGTTAAGCATTTCCGAACACGGCGATTGTATTCATGCCTGGTCCAGAATAGGTGGATCATCATGTAATAATGAAGCCCTATTTCGTATACGTACGCTGCTGCTCCGTATCGTTGAACGGTTAACAGCTGCAGGCACAAGGAGAGAAACTACGCGAACGAGTCGCCGGGCTGGAGCAGGAGTTGATCTCTGCGAAACAGACTGCCGAAAAAAGTCTGGATAACGCCAACAGCCAAATGGAGAGCTTGCGTAAGATGAATGTAACGGTGAGATCAGTCGCGGATGCCATGTTACGCGCCGCTCTCCCAACTTGAGGATGCCTATGCCGTGCCATCACTACACCTCAACCATAAACCATAGGTCGGCGAAACAATGCATACTGGGTACAAAAAAAAAATGGCTGATCAGTATCCATCCACACGCCATACTGTTGATGCTATGCAGCTCCAGAAAAAGTGCGAAGATCTCGAATTCGAGGCAGCCTCTCACGAGCGGCAAATATCTCAACAAGGCGAGGTGGAGTCACACCTGCGGGAGACATCTGTGGCGCTGTCGCTGGCAGAAGGAAGGGCGAGCGACCTCGCCAGGAGACTTGCGGATCAGGAGTCGACTTCAAGTACGCTACAGCTTCGTCTGAAGGTGCAGCGAGATGTTAGCCCAAGACACGATGGTTGCTCTCCCTGATTTCTGTACTTGGATTGCGGTCATACATGCCTCATGTTCTGCATTTTGTTGAGACCGTTCGCTTCAACCTAACCGTGAATACATTGTCTTTCGAGGCAGATTATCATTTTCGTACAGTGTCCGCGTGTTGGCGAGAAACACTGTTTTGAGCTAGGCACGAGTGTGCCTCACCGACAAAGCACAGGCTATTCCTATGCATGCTACCACATATGATGTACATAGCAGTGCAGTGCCGGCGGCTGGGCCAAATTTCCTTCTCCTTTCTTCGTACTTGAGAACAAGACGTGAGCTACGATTTCTTGTTACTGATGTTTCTTTTGGGTGGTGCCGCCACTGTAAGTCATGATTCCAAACCTGCACCACCCCGAGATTAGAGACGCTCGGTACCAATGTTTTCTATGAACGAATCACGTGAAACAGCCTTTCGTTCTGGGACATGCGACGCCCCGCATTAACCCCGATTTTCTGACAAACAGTGATACCTCCGGTTCCCCCCCGTTCCCTTTTACTGCCTCCGCCAACATGACAAGGAGAACGATGACAAAATTTTCGCCATGAAGGAGGCAGAGACAATCCTCACGGCTGAGGTGGACGAGAGCAAGACACAGCTTGCGCGTCTGGACGGACAGGCGCGCGACTTGCAGGAGAAGCTCAGGGTGGCCGAAGCTGAGCACGGGCAGCTCGGAGTACGGCTCGAACAGGCTTTACGGGACCTAGCAACTTCGAGGGAGGAAAACAAGGAAATGGTGGAGAAGGAGCAGGTCAGACGCAAACAGCCAATCGTTCAATGACAACGACATATGTCATTTTCTACTGTTCTCTTCCCGTTTTTGTCCCGTGGGTGACTTTTGTTGTTGCCTGGCTGACATGTGATTGCTGTCGAATTTCCTGAACGTCGGTGTTCTCCAAGGTCGTCAGAGCTCGTCTCGTGGAATTCCGTGAAGACACCATCTATCGAGGTTGAAAGTCGAGGTGGGCGTATCTGGTGCCGGTCTTCAAAAAGGCGATGACACTGATGCGCACGGGACAATGTATTCCCATTTGACAGCCATCGAAAACCTGATTTCACTTCACTAACAGGAATCGCTTGCGGGGGCAGCCGAGCAGAAGTCGCGGGTCAACGCTGCGGAGGCGAAGTTATCGGAAGAAAGGAAGCGCTTCCAGAGATTCCGAGAGGATGCCAAGCGAAAGCTTGAAGAGGAAGCGGTGGGTCCACAAACTGCATGCTCTTGGTAGTATGGTCTGGCGTGGGACACAGCTTTACACGGAGAGAGGCCGTGACGGCCACCTGTACAACGCCATCCTTACCGTTTCTGCTAAGCCTCGTCAACCTCGCTTGCGTATACGATTAGAACCGTCGAGAGCGGTCACTATTTCTGCGTGATCGAATCGACAAAGAAAGACCTGCAGACGCCGACGGGTCCATGAATGGTGCGATATACCAATACTGTGTGTCGGCGCTCGTGGCCGTTTCCTTGAATTGTTTTCAGCGGCGGTACAAAGCGGCGCTCATGGAGCACGCCTACGAGCGAGAGCGGCTCCTCGTGAGGATCGACGCGCTCTTGCGTGAGGCCGAGTCGATGCGAGCTCACATGGTGAGGAAAAGGGAGACTGTCCGCCGAAGCCGTGGGTAAATTGCCTGACCCCTTTTCGTGCTCCCCTGACCCCACACTACCAACATGCGTATTTTTCCTGGTGGCTGAAACATTTCGGCGTCCCTCCGTCCTGGTATTGAAAGGACCCCAGGGCCGAAAAATGTTCACCAATACTACCATGAAGGAATGAACACAAGAGGCTGTCCGCCGCCTCATGTTTTTGCTTTCATTCGATGTTTCAATGGACCACAGGTAGAAAAAACGTCGTTCGCTCGTCACCCTCCACACTAGGTTGACAAGGATGTTGTGAAGCTGATCACTCGCTTCCCACGCTGCCGCAGAACACAGCGTTGTGTCCCCGTTGGCACACGCGCGGCAGCCAGTGCTGGTTCTCGCGCACCGAATGCCCCGGCATCGAGAACAGGACTACATGTACAACATCTTCTTTGAGAAGCATTGGATACGAAGAGTAGATACAGATGCAAGTGAGTTACTTCTGAGACTTTTTTCTCCTTGCCCGACTGCGCCGACGGCAGAACAACAACCGGTCTCAGTTCAGCAAGTACGTTGAAGCCAAGACCGAAAACACACAGCTCAAAGAAGAGGTGAGTCGTCACCGATTTCATTCCCCCTTGGTTTAGCAGCCCTGGACATTGGTACCCGAGGTTCGCATTGGCACCACTGACAAAGCATTCCCAATGAGTGGCCCACCAAGGGCTCGTTCGCTCGAAAGCGAGACTGCTGCTCATCATGTCATATCCCCGCATGGTAGTCTCGGGTAAACACTACGATTTAGCATGCTTCCTCGCGCCGCCCTCTCGTCCCCGCCGTTTGAATTCTTCTTGCTCGTGCTCTTGGTTCGATCAAGCTCGACGGGCTGCGAGAGATGGTCGTTGCCGTTCCACGCCCTCCACACCGAAACCACAGCCTCGGGAGCGGCAGCGGCTCTTCGATCCTCGGCGGAGACATGAACAAACATGTCAGCGTAGAGAGGCTCCGGCATTCCATCAGCGTGGCGCGAGGCCATCCAACCACAACCAACACGATCAATAGCAAGTTTACCAATGGAAACTACAATGTCAGTGGTGGTGGCAGTGGGAAAAATGTTCTGGTCAGACGGCATAGCGGCCACAGCAGTAGTAGCGGTGGTAGCGGTAGCGGTAGCAGTGGGTGGACAGGGACAAGTAAGGCTCCGAGCTACAAGTTCGCAGTGTCGGCTGGTTCCAATAGCGGCGGTTTTAGTGCAAGGGGAGATGACGCCGATGAGCGCCAGCGAGGGATGAGACTAGCGCAGCAAGCTTTCTGATCTTGGGGGAGGGAACTGTCGTGCATGCTGCTCCCATGCTCGGTGCACTCTGAACCATCTGGTCCGGTCTATGAGCGTAAGAACGAACTGAGCGGGGGCATCCCAAGGGCATCACGTTGTTTTCCAACAAAAAATGTGTGTGGTGCACACAAGGTGGCCATGGATCGGGGAAAGTAACGACCGTTACCCGATGAACATTTCGTACCATGGGGGTACGAGAATAGACAGTTTTGTGCAGGAGGGGGGGCGAGCCGATGTGAAGGGCAGCCCTAGGTAAACGAATTGCGGATAGACAAGTAAGATTGGTGAAGTGGTGTCCCAAAAGTATGTAGGATGCGTTATATGTGGTGCAGCAGTAGTCTATTGCGGCGGCGAGAGCTAGACGATTGCCCGATTATGTAAAAAGGGGAAGCTTGAGGGAGAAAAGTGGGCTGCCATTCTTGTTGACGACCAGGCGCGATGTGAAACTGCCGGATGCATGCATGGATCCTACAGACCAGAGTGATGCCGTGGAAATGGGTTGCGACTTCATGAAGAGATATATAGAGGCATGCGCTTCGTCAATGTGAGGACCAAGGAATGAACTCTCTTAAGAATATTATTAGGCTATCTATGTTGTTGTTGTCTTCACAATAATAACCGTTCCGTTCTCTCTGCCTAGTGCCTTCTTCTGTCCGTCCTAGTCTAACACTTGACGCGGTCGATTCCCGTGGTCACAGGCTAACTTGCCCAAAAAAAGGTAAACGAAAATAAAATGGACCCGAAGGGTCCGCAAGCCAATAAAAGTCAACGACAGATAGCCTAGGCCACTCCGCTCGCCTCTCTGCACTCTATGCGAGGTAACCCTAGATTGGAAAAAGATAGAAAAAGGAAAAAGAAAAGGAAAAAGAAAGAGAAAAAGAAAGGAAGAGAGCAGATGGAGAGAAAACAAAGGGGAAGAGAAAGACACAGACAGAGAAAGACATACGCCACGATAGTCTGCGGGGAAGCTTATGGCAGGACCCTATGGCAAGGTTTACGAGGAGGATCATCATCATGCGAATGGCACGACACGAAAACGGTTGTCTAGGGACTCGCGCGAGACTCGCATGACGCCGTTGAGATGACGATCTTTGTCAAAACTCCATTCCCACACCCAGCTGGGTTCGTAGACACACACACTGGCAATTGCGGACACACAGACAGATAGACGGACAATAATTTGGAGGGCAAGCAAGGTGGTTCGTGGCAGAGTTCATGAGGACCTCGCATGAACCTAATGAAACTACAATACAGTATCTACGGAACGGCATACTGCATCATGACACTCATCTGATAGGACGACCAAGACAGGAACGACAGCTGCTGCGCATATTCGAAAACACAAACGATAATGTGCTACATACGATTGTTTCCACCGTCCGCCACCGTCCTGAGTGTCACAAGAGAGACCCTTTCACTTTTTTTGTGAGAGAAAGCTGTACATGCACACGTTTGTCCATACTTTTTCGCGACCATGAAAAACCCAGCGGAATACAATGTGTATGTATATCAGGGAGAGTCTGACGGGAGTCTCATGAGAATCTGATCGGCTGTCCCAAAGAATTGCAACCAACCCCACCATACGTCGTGTGTGTGTGGTGGTGGATCAAGAATGACACCTGATGAGCGGGGCTGTGCCCCCTGCACCCCCTCCCTTCTGGTTGTGGGTGCATCTGCGTACCCCCTGCGCAAGCACGGCCCTCTCCCACAGCAGAGAGCAGCGGAAAGATCACAGCAGCACATCTAGCAGTCTTACTCGTCTCGGGGGTGATGGACTATCCACCGGAGCTCTCCAGCCCCGATCTCGTGGGAGCTCTTGTCCAGGTGAGTTGCGACCGCGACGAACGCCTCAGAAATAGTGCGAGTTGGGGTTGCTGGAGCTGGAGTTGTTGGCGAGAGGTTTCCTTCCTCGCGGTTGTTGTAGGACAGGACCACAAAAAGATCGATCGGTGTGTCTAGCGCTAGTGCTCCCGTATGCCGCATCGGTATGGGGGTCCTTGGCTACTCAGCCCCGAGTTTAAGGCAAGCACGTACTCAGCTACGCACCTGTTGCCGCGGCGGATCACCCAATGGAAAGCTTCTACAGAGACTGACCTGATGTGAAATGGAATCATGCCGCGCTCTCTCGTCTCTCCGACTACGAATTTGGCTTTGGCAAGCATGATTGCCCTCGAGTGTGTACACGTCCTTGTATTGGGTGCAACAACAGGAGAGGCTGATCGAACACTCCCGCGTTGGACAAGACTTGGCAGCAGTGCAATGGCAAGGTGCTTTGTAGTTCTCTTTGCGTTCAGCATCCCACAGCAATGTTTATTATTGCAGCAGTACAGTAGCGCAAATCACAGAGATCCGCCGCGCCGCGTGGCAGCTTGTCCTCGTGCTGCGAGAAGCCACTGCCCATGGGGTGTATGGGGTGGATGCACATACACACCTCACGCAACAGCGCTTAACTCTCGCCATTGCTCGCAGGCAGAAGAAGTTGTGGTTTTGTCACGTATGGTGAGGTTGATTTTTATGGTGTGTTCAACCATCTCAAATCCCCCACACATGACGGTGGCTTCCGGAGCATCTGCTCCCGACCGCCCTTTGTGTGTAATTTGATATGCGTATTTTAGTCATCAGGAAAATCTTCATCTCACGACGAGGGGACGCGTCAGGTTCTATCCGGGGTCTGTTGTCTGTTGCATGCATGATGCCCCTCGATTTATCTCTCTCTCTCTCTCTCTCTCTCTCTCTCTCTCTCTCTCTCTCCCGATTGGCAGCAGAGGTACATACGTGCCAATGTGTTTTTTTCAGCACAGAGGAGCGAGCTCGGCGGTCGAGAAAATATCCTCGGCGCTTGCTGTCCACGCTGCTGTAACCTATGTAATTAGTTAACGTTGAACGATGCAGCTGTCACGAAGTATTTTGTGCCGGGGGAGGATCCGATCCTATCCGCGACGACCTTGCGAAGCTTTTGGGCGTGACGCACCATGTAACGAATTTCTCTTCGACACATCTCGGATCTAGTTCATCCCGCACACTTGCGATATTGCATACATTACTTTGTTCTTTTCGGCAGCTTGTATGCATACACAGCTGTGTGCATACATAGCGGTGTGTAGCGTGTGTAGCGTTGCCCGCAAGCACACGTTCATATGCAAACACAGCATTTCTCCTTCTCTCTCTTCTTCTTCCTCTTCTTTTCTTCTTCTTTTCTTCTTCTTCTTCTTCTTCTTCTTCTTCTTCTTCTTCATCATCTTCTCTTTCTCTCTCTTTTACAGCATATTATTCCGCTACGTGCGTTAACCCCTTGTTTTCCTGAAGACCGTTTCCATGTCTACTTGACTGAATAAAACCTGTATGTGTTGGATACAAAACTCCCCAGTAGCGAACACTCTAGTGCGTGATGACTTGCGACCGGTGTGGCATGCGAAAGAGTTGTTGCTCATTTCACCACGCTAATCCGCGGTCGTAGAACGCTCGATCTTCACCAGCGAAAATCTCGCAGGGTGCAGCAGTGTGGTGTGGTGTTGTGTCGGGGGGTGTGGAAGGGATGTCGCATGATCGCGAACGTAAGAACAATGCGTCTGCCGGGGGGGAAACGATATCTTCATATTATGGTTATTCCTTGATCGCAAAAGCCAAATTCTGAATGGGCCGACCCCTCCCGGCTTTGCCTAGCAACACAAAGAGATGCATGGATCACGACCTATGAGTTGCGTTGACGGTATTGACGACAGCTACACGCCCGTGCGCGTATATATGCCGTGTGTATGTACGTACAGCACACCGACGAGGATCAAGTGATAGGGCTCCGCATCGACGCCTGCCTAAACCATGGAGACCCGGCGAGCTGGAGCAGTTTTCTGCGCAGCAGCGGGCTGGTAGAGCGGGAGACGCTCAACCACGTAGCGAGGTGGGGAGGTGGGGGTGTTTTGGTTGTCTATGTTGGGCACACGCTGCATCACGGTGTCGTCGCGCTGTTGCTTTTGTAGACACAACTCTCGCTTGTTACTGCTTGTTGTGTTTCCTGGTCCACTCTGCAGTGCCACGACGCAAGGCAGTGCCTCAGGCAAGAGGAGGAGCATTTTGGTGGTTCGGGTCTTTACCCTCTGTTGGACAGCCGCCGTGGAGCTAGCTAGATATTACAGCTCTCTTTGTTGTGTCTCAAGGTGTGTCCCCGTCCTGTTTAGTCAGAAGAATGTGTGAAATGCTGCATGCAGCAGTGTTTGCGTCCCCCAAGAGCTTTGCGGGGATCGCAGCCTCCACGAACAATCCCCGAACGGTAACGCAGCTGTCCTCACCTCTTCTTTCCATCGATCCGTATGTGCTGTTGTTGCTGGTAGGTCCGGTGCTTGCCAGTTCAGCGCGGTGGCCGACCAGCTGTTCCGATCACGCCCTGTGACGGAGAGCTTCAGGCCGGACGTCTACCTCAGGTCCGTTGGTCGCTCACTTGCTAGTTTTCCACAACGTCCAAGACCCATGACTCTTCCGGGATGTCCTTTTTTGGCTTGTGTTTTTTTGTTGCCTTGTTGTGTGTGGCAGGCTTGTTCTCGTAGTGTCTTCCGTAGTAGTGTAGTCTGATTTCCCAAAGGGGTTTCGATGCACCACGTACGTTAACATGGTGTGCGGAAAACCATGGCAAATGTACAATAAAAGTGCCCGTGGGTTGCTTTGTTGCTGTGGTGCTACGAGGGTATTGGTGCGGTGCAAGCGTGTGAGGAGTCAGGTTGACGTACTCACAGCTCCGTGGCTGGCTTCTCAGCAGTTACTCTCGCGTTTTTTTTGTGTGTGTGTTTTTGACAAACGCGATGTGCCGTTGCCACGTGGGAGTATTGCAATCGCTGTGTTGTGTTCGCCCAGGCCTCTCCTCACAAGCGCGCGTCTCCTCGTGACTCCCTTCCACGCCGCAGGTTGCTGGCCCTGCACTGCGTCTCCCACAACCAGAACGCCTTCCAGGACTTCATGCTCCATGCGGCACCGGTCACCCGGCGCCAGCGGCAGGTGATCGATGGTCGTCGTGTGTTGCTTGGCGCTGTCTTGCAGAGCGATGATGGTGTAGTGGGGTGGTGGCGGCGACGACGAGGATGCCACCGTACAACTACGATCCGCGCACATGCCATCGTTCGGCGGTGCCGACGGGATATTTCTCGGTTTTGTGGTAGACTCGCTGCGTTCCAGATGGTACCGGTGGTCTCCGAGCCGGACCTTTGAGTGATTTGTGCCAAGGCCTTACAGCAGCTCTCTCTCAATGTCGTACATATATCTATCGCCTCACGGTTGTCCCGCCATGGCACACGCGCTTCGATTCCTCACGCTAGCCATTCTACCGTTGTCCTCCGGAGTGCTCTGGACGTTATTAACGCCCTCCCAAGAGTGGAGTCAATCCAATCAGCTTTGGTCGTGGACGCGTTGGCCGCGTTTTGTCTGGACATGACCCCCAAGAGAAAGGTTGCAGAGCAGGCTGTTGGCTGCCGTAGCGGACCGGCGATATGCCTGCGTTATGGCCGTGTAAACTGCTGCTATCCCCATCGTTTGTTGTCTTGCAAGGCACGCGCGCGCGCGTTCTCGCTTTTTCCACGATGGTCACAAGCATCATTTTCTTGGTGCATCGTCGGTTTCGCGAAGAGTAACGACCGGCGTCTGTCGTGTGATGTGACGTCATATTCAGCGCGGCGGCGGTGGTGTGGACATGGAAGAGTACGCCCGGCGAATGACCAGCAGCCGCTGCGACGGGGATCACATCACTCTACAAGCGCTCTGCGACGCCCTTAAGGTCAGCCAGTGGGATGGGTAGGGTCAGATGTTGTAGTTTGGCGAGACCGGGGGTTCAAAAATGAGCTAGGTTAACTTTGTTTGGGAGTACGTGAGTGTGCACTGTGCGGTGCGGTCCGGCGCAGGAAAATTGCCGTCGACAACGGGACGCGATTGCTGGCGGTGCGGTAGCCTGTTGCCACAAATCCTGTGCCACCATACCGCGCTCTTTAGGCGGTGGCATGCATGGCGACAAGACGAAAAGTGTGTGCAGGCACCCATGTGAAGCTGCGGTCTATGTATTCGATTACCACCGCGTCCCCACCTCGTGATTTTTGAGATTCCTGGCATTTTCTGCTTCCACTCTGCTGTCATGAGCAATCGCCTGACCTTAGGTGGCCCTCCCTCCCCCCCCCCGGTCTCCTCACCATGCGACCCTTCAGGTGAACATCAACGTCGTAAAGTGGACCAGGGACGATGGCTGGTACCCGCGAACGGTGGCCAGCGCTACTACCAACGACGCGGCGTCCGCCAGCAACCCCCCAGCGGCAGTCGCAGAAGAACCACGGCGCCCCAGCCGGAGCGTGTTCGTGGCGGACACGCTCCGCCCGCGGGCGGTAGCCTCCCTGGACGCACGCGCCCGTGACTTGCAGCTGCAGGGGCGCACCCTGTGGCTGTCGCTCCACGGCGAGGCTCATTTCCGGAGCCTGCGGGTGCGGGACCCCGTAACGGAGGCGGAGGCTGCTGCGCTTGGTCGGGCGGGGGATTCGACGGGGTCGGCCGGTGGTGGCGGTGACGCCAGCGGCGGTGGGGGTGGGCGTTCTTCTTCTGCATCTCCCTCCTCGTCGTCGTCTTCTTCCTTATCTTCGCCTCCCATGGCGGGTCGTACCTCCTCCTCCTCCTCCTCCTCCTCCTCGTCTTCCTGTTCCTCTTCGCCGCCACCGTCCTCTTCTTCTCAAGGGAGGGGGGGCCGGTCAAGCCCGCGCCTTAGATCCTCGTCATCGCGGTCTCGCTTGCCTGGCGGCTGTGGTCCGGGTGGTGGTGACGGCGAGGCTTCCGCGGCGAGCGCTGCCCCGGCGGCAAGTCCGAAGGGTTCCGCCACTGCCGGTGACAGCGGAAGTGCTTCTGGACCGGCTGCACCGGACGAGGCATGCCGAGAGGGACGGCGGGAAGAACAACAAGCATCGTCAGCGACAGATGGTGCTGGTAGCAGGGATGTGGTGGTGGCAGGGGGCACAGCAGATGGATCACCGGGGGGGAGGGGCCCCACGGTTTCCCCGCCGGAGGAGGCGGAAGCGTTGCCAGACGGTGGTGGGGTAGGTGATGGTAGCGCGAGCAACGGTGATGGTAGCGGCGGTGCTAATCCTTCCTCGGCGACAAGAGGAAGTGAGTCGCCCAATCGAGATGCGGCTACCGTGGGGGGAGATAACCTCGTACGCCGTGCTGCCTCCCGCGACGGCGTGGAGAGGGTCGGTCCTGACGAAACGGCGGCGGCGGTGACGGCAGCGGGGGAAGGGGCGGTCCATTCCGAGGGGCGCGCGATGCCTCTCAAAGAAGGCTCCCTTACCGGTGGCGCCGCCGGCGCCAATAACGACAGCTGTAGCAAAGGCAACAACGGCCAGGACGATGAGGGGGAGGCGGAGGACTGCTCCATCTGCATGTGCCCCGTGACCGGGGACGAGGACCAAGCGTCTCTCGACAAGTGCGTCCATGCCTTCCACTTCACGTGCATCGTCAAGTGGGGCGAGACGACCAACCAGTGCCCCATGTGCAAGGTACTTGATGCACCGCCGCCACCGCACTCTAACGTGCCACTGTTTCCAGTAAGAAGTTCGGGCACGTGAAGCGCGTTCGAGCAAGCCTCGAGTCAACCTTTCGTGCATCGGCAACAAAAACTCCGCACAAATTACTTCGTTCCACTTGACCGCGCACAATATGGCACCCACCCACCCACCCCCGCACGTTTTCAGAGTCGGTTCTACGTCATCACCCGGCTGAGAGACGATCACGTGAAGCGATTCCGAGGCAGCCGGAGGAGACGGCCGCTGGACGAAGGAGGGCTGTTCGCACCCAACGGCCACCTGGGCGGTCTGCTGATCCCCGAGGAGCCGGAGCCGGAGGGGGCCCGGGCGGTGTGCCTGCACTGCCAGGACGGGGGCGCGGAGGAGCAGCTGATGCTGTGCGATGGCCCGGGCTGCAGCAATGTGAGCCGCCGAGCGACTAGGCTGAGCTGGTTGTGCGTGGAGATGATATGATTGTGCCCTGGCTGGGTGCGGCGCGTGTTGGTGGCTCGGCGCGCGGCCGCCTCAACTAGAGGAAAGCAGGGGAAGATGAGTATGTTTTTGCCGCAAGAAGGAAAAGCCTAAATAGTCGTCGCCTGGTGCATCCGCCTCTGCACACCCTGCCTCAAGCGGAGGGCCTTCACGACGCTATCGATCGTGGTGCTATCTTCAAGCAGCAATCGCCCGAATGCTTCAATATTTCGGATGGATTTAGTACCCTCTCGAGCACGTCCTTACCTGCGGTCCCTCAACAAGCTGCCTTCCAGACTGTTATTCGTCCTCGCTAGCCTAGGCATCCCGCTACCTAATGGTGTTGTTGTTGTTTTTTCCCTTTGGTACCCTTCCGCCGCCCCGTGTTGATCACGCTCCAAACAAAAATATATGACACAATGAAACAGGCTGCCCACACGTTTTGCTGCGGGTTGGAGGAGGTCCCCGCGGGAGACTGGTTTTGCCCCGCTTGCCAGGCCCGTCGGGAGGAGGAAGCCCGCAGGCGAGAGGCCGACTCCCGCCGCGACGCCATCCTGCAGCGGGTGTGGGCCGTAGACTCGGGGTCAGAGGCAGAGGAGGAGGAGCAGGAGGACGACGACGGGGTGGAGGAGGAGGTCGGGAGAGGGCAGCAGCAACAACAACCACTGGAGTCATCTGGGGAGGAGGGTGTGGTCACTGGGGCGGGTGCTGCAGGAGAAGGTAGCGGCGCCGCGGGGGGCCGGAGGACAAGGAGGGCAGCCGCGGAGGCGGCGGCGGCGGCGGCGATCACAACGGCGGTCACGGCGGGGGCAGGCGCTGAAGCTATCGACGAGGGCGGCGAAGTGAGGGTAAGCAGCGGGGACCTGGAGGCGATTGGCTTGGGGGATTCGTCCGCCTCTTCGTCGTCATCCAATGAGGAGGAGGAAGAAGAGTTTCATGGGTCGGACGCGGAGGGCGGCGATGCCGGCGCAGGAGCAGGCCCGACGGAGACCCGAGGCCGCACGGCCGTAGGCAGCGGTGTCGAAGGCAGCAGCCGCCCCCGACCCCACAGCAGTGCCAGCCCGGAGGCGAGGAGAAGATCTAGCGACGGCTCGGAGGACGGCGAGAGACTTGTGAGCGTGCTTCCGGGAGGCGGCGGGGTGTCCGGCGGGGCTGCTGCCGGTGGTGCCAGCAGCAGCAGCCGTCGCCGCGGGAATAGAAGCAACGGCGGTGCCGTGGGTCGGAGCGGTCGCAGTCATGACGGAAGCGGTTCCGCCGCCGCCGCCGCCGCCGCACCCAATTTCTGGCCCAGAGTCCTAGCGTCTGCGACATCCGCGATGACCCCGAGACACGTGTTCGCGGACGAGGAGTACGGGCAGGAGCTGGCGAGCAGCGAAGACGAGGCAGGGCCACCGGCCGGTGCGACTGGGGTCGTGGCGCAGTCCTGGGCTGACGCGAAGCTTGCTCAGCAGGTGTGTGTGTGTGTGTGTGTTTGTTTGTTTGCGCGCTGTTTGGTGGCTGTGCACCGATTATGTATGGGGATCGTTTTTGTTCCTTGTGGTGTGCTGTCCCCATGTGCGTCATGACCGGCTGTGTTGTGCCGGTTTATTGAGGTAACAATTGCGGCCACTCTTGCCCCCGTTATATTCCGCGCGGAGTTGTTCTGCCGCACCATACAAGATTTATGTCCCCGCAAATGCTAGTCCAATAAAGCGGCGACCAGGGACTGACGTGCAGCTTCCGTCTTGTACGGGTAGTGAAATCCAGTGCGTTGCATGTGTCGGGAATGCCCGTGCTTGGGTTTTGCAGACTTCGGGGCAATTTGTGTGGGAGACACCAGATTCCTTCAATCTCAACAGTGTTGAAGCGCGAATTTGTCACAAAAGTTTGTGGATAGAGCTCATACGGTTGGGCATTTTTCCAGAAACGAACATGGACCCGTTGCCATTCTCTCGCGTGTTTCCATGCGTCTGAAAATTGGGGTTGGCACTGTTGTGTGTACAATCTTCGTTCCACACGTGCCCGTGTTGTAAAATGTGGCGTTGCAATCTCTGGGTTCCAGTTGGCACAAGGGAAGAACAAAAAGGATAAGAGCAAGGCTCCTTCCACCTCGAAGCAGCCTCCACGCACGGCGACGACAACCAGAACCCGGCCACAACAACGACAGCAACCCGTGCGCGGCAGCGTTTCAAATGGTCAGGCCTCCGTCGGCTCTCCTGTGTGGAACGGCGGCGCCGCGTCTACTGCAGCTTCCACTGCCGCCCTGAGATCCACCCCGCCGCCGCCGCCGCAGCAGCAGCAGCAGCAGCAGCGGCGGCCGGAGCGCAGGGTGTTCAAACGTCCCAGGATGATGCTTACGTCACTACCCCCGGTCTTGCCGCCACCGCCGCCGCCCCCGCTGACGATGTCGTCGGCGAAGCGGTACGGCGGCCGCACCGGCGGGGGTGGTAGTGTTGGTGACGGGGGGGGGGTTGCAGCACGAGGAGGAAGGAGGGCGGGGGTAGGCACGACGACGACCACCCCGCGGCTCCCCGCTGCGTCGGACGTCCGCCTGGGACACTCGGAGGTCCAGGCGCTCGTGCAGCGGCTCCGGCGCGTGGCGCTGAAGGAGAGGGAGCGGCGCTCCAGAGGTTGGGCCGTTGGGGGCTCGTCTGCGAGGACGGGTGTGTCTGAGGGCGGCGGAGGTGACCCGAAGGTGGCGGTGGAGGTTGAACAGACGATGGCAGAGCTGCGCCGGGTGGCTGTACACGGAGACGCCACCACCCTTGACGTGCTGCTGTCTTCGCAGGTGGGAATCAGGTTGTTTGGGGAAGGGGGGGAGAGGAGGAATGGGACGGCGTCGCATGTCCGGTGTGGCCACTATTGAAGGATCTGCTGTAGAAGTAGTACCCAAGATGTGTTCCAGCGGCACAGATAGTATCGCATTTGTAGAGCTACCGTTGCCTTCACCTCTTGCTTGTGCGGTCTGGCCTTGGAATCATCTACTATACGCCTAGCTGGCTGTCGAACACCTACGTTTGCCAGCCACCGTCCCATTCATCTCGACGGTTCTCTCTCGCCCGCCTTCAAACTTGCCGGTGTCGGCGGTGGTGGTGGTGGCCGTCCCAGCTTCCGACGGTCCTCCGCCTGTGGCTGGAGGTCGCACCGGACGGCGGGCCATTCCTACCACCCCCCCAAAGGGCGTCCCTGCTCAAGGTGCTCATGGTGCTGCCCGTCCAGAAGTCGCACCTGCGGGAGAGCGGCATCGGCAAGCTGGTGGTAGCGATGGCGGCCGACCCGGGAGAGACTCGAGACAACCGGGAGCTGATCAAGCAGGCAAGGATTAATGGTTGAGCTCGGGCGCAAGAGGGCCGATGTGTGGGCTATTTATTTAGGCGGTTTGGTTTTGCTCGAGTGTGTGTTTGCCTCCTGGTGACACCCACTGCGTTGGCTATTGCATGTCCAGCCTTTGTCTTGCTTTGAGGTCACGGTGTGGTAGCGGTATTGGTACTTCGTGGTGTAGACGTAATTGTAGTGGATACTTTCCCCATCGTAGTGTACAGCCACTTGATGGCGTGCAGCAGTTGTCAACGAGCGCTCGGCCATTCAAGGGCTGCTTGGTGCCACCGCCGAAAGGCGCGGAAAGTCCCACTCCGATTGAAACCCCACCGCACACGCACACGCCCAATTATGCTAAGCTGCGTCTGTCCCCCGCCCCCGTTCTTCTCGCCCGCCACCGCCCCTAACCCGTCGCTCAGATAGTAAGGCGGTGGAGCCAGCTAGTCTTCAGGACCCCCAGGGAGCTCCCGGTGTCCCCGTTCTCCCCGCACAACCACGCCTCTCCGATACCGCGAAGGCCTGCGGCGGTAGACACGGCTCGGTACGCAGGTGCAGGTGCTGGTGCTGGTGCTGGTGGTGCTGGTGCTGGTGCTGGTGGTGCTGGTGCTGGTGCTGGTTGGACCACCGCCGTTCGATCTCATCGTGCGCGTTCGTTGGGGGGAGAGATGTTGTGGGCGTCATCGTCGTCGTCGCCGCCGCCGGCGGCGTTGCCGCGGCACGGAACGTTCCAAGGAACGCGAGGAACGCCCCCGCCGAGGGGGAAGAAGCTTGGCGGCGGCCGAAACGGCGGCAGCTCTTCGTCTTCGGCAACTCTTCGCAGGGGAGGGGGGGCAAGGGCGGTGGTCCGCACCATCCCTCGGCGACACGATGTCAGCGGTGGCACAGGCGGGGGCGGAGTCAAGAGAACCATCCCCCGCCTGCCGCCGCAAGACGGCAATGGGGCACGGGGCGGCGCCGGCGCCGGCGGTGGTGCGGCGACTTCGAGCCTTTCGTCGCCCGCCCGCCACGCGGCTCGTCACCGAAACCACCACCGCGAATCCGCTTCTTCTTCTCGCGATTCAGCGTCGGCATCGCTTGTTCCCCCGACCTCGTCGTCGTCCTCGTCCTCGTCCTCCACCGCTACGTCTTCCTTGCCCCACCACCGCCAACTCCACCTCGGCGGTAACGGCGGCGGAGCCCGCGCCTCGCGGCCCCGCTCATCGTTTTCGAGACCCGCGTCTGATGGAGATGCAACCCCGCGACCTCAACAGCAGCGGCAGCCGCCGTATTGTTCCCCTTCCCGCCATTTTCCCGCTCGCGCCGCGAACGCTCCCGGCGGCGGCGGCGGCGGAGGTGACGGTGGCCGCAAGCGTCCAAGGGAGGCGTCGCTGGCGGCGACGGCGGCGGCGGCAGCATCCCACTCGCGAACGCAACACTCGGGCCGTCAAGAAGGCGGTGGTGCGGAGAACGGACGCGGCGGAGGCGGGGTTTCGAGGGAAGTCGGAGGCGGTGGTGGCGGCGGTGCGGTCGGAGTCCCGTCGAGGCGGTTTGATTGGCCAGCAGCGAGGGGACCGCGGTCTGGTTGAATCAAGTTCCGAGAGGCGAAAATGGGTGGCTCAGGTCGAGATCGAGTACATAGAGTCAAGCCTACTCGGCGGTATTGGCTCTGATCGAGGGCATCTGTCGCCGCGTGTGTCAAGAGTCCAGCTTCTGGCCCCGTGGTCGAGGGGCTGTGCGGGTCCGCCACTCCTGCCGCGTGGCCGCCGTTGTGTTAACTAGCTGAGGGAAGGTATTGCCCGAAGCACCCAGGACTCAACATAGAAAGAAAGGGCTTGTCGGTGGCTGTCGTGTGTTTGGGTGGGGAGGATCAGACGTGGAGAGCAGGATGGAGATTGCAAGAACGACAGGTTAGGAAATAGCAGGTAGTAGGTAGACCTTCAGTCGACGTGCGTGTGTGCCGAACCTGAAGTTTCTTCGGCCTACTCTCTCTCCATCGCCGGTAATGAGGGGGGAAGGAGGTGGTGCGGAAACTTGACCTTATCAGAGCGGTGGGTTGGGTGTGGTGGATGTGGTCATTTCCCGTGCTCGACACAAGACCGGTCCTAGCGTTTTCGATAGCCCGGCGTGGGTGCCTTGGTGAGTGCTCCAGGGCAAATAATTGTCGAAGGAAGGCTTGCCGTTGCTACCTACCCCCAAGACTAGGCAATGTTTTTTAATTCTTGCATCGAATGAGAGGGTGTGTTATGGTGCCAGCCCGTGCGTGCAGTAAAGGCGTGAACTGAGCTGATGTTCATGTGCATAGATGGCTCGACGCCACGTGAAATAGGACAAGCACGGGTCACACGCCAATCGCGCGATACATAAATAAGCAGGGCCAGCTTCCCAAGAAAAATGAATAGTCCAACCCTGTGCACATGTTCCTCGCCGCCGTCGTGCTCCTACGCATCACTATTTTCTTCGAAGAGTGTTGGCAAACATACGACGGCTGTGGTATTCCTCCCGAGTGTCCTGTGGAACAGGGTCAATGGCCACGACGGTTTGGCGTCGTCAATCGTCGCTACAAACCGTCGTCACACAAGAAATGCTTATCAAACAAACAAATAATCGGTTTTCCATCAAGTGTTCGTTCAAACCACATTCTCAATTAAAATTCAAACATCGACCACATGTCAACAAATCATGGACCCCAAAAGAGTCTTCAACAAGTACACTCCATTTCCCTCAACTCCGGACCCATACCGTCTCGTCCGTCACTGCATCTACCCGTCACCACCACAACTTGTCAGACACACCAACGCGCTCAACGCAACATCACAGGTTTCACTCCTGACCCCCATCTTTCTTTCTATTACCACTCTAAAGACTGCGCCCCCATCTCTCTCTCCCCTTCATCCCTCACAAGGCCTAGCCGAACGCTGCATCTGCGGGCGTACTCGACTCAGCACACAAACCAGCACCAAACGCCTCCTCTATCGAACCCCCTCCCACAGAAACGTGTTGTCAAACGATCGAAGCCCAGCTACCGACAGCTAAACATTTGATATCTATCGGCATGCTTGCTGCCCCCGCCCACGGGGAATCCCCACGTCCCGCCCCCAACAGGCGCTCGCTCTGATCAACCCTGTCAGCGACGCGCGACTCACTTTCTCCCTCCGTGCTTCAAGTCGGTATCATTCCGGAACAACACCCACCAGGCCACACCACCAAACAAAGACGCAAAAAACATCAACTTATGGTACCACATGTTACAAAAGCGATCGGGCGAGGAGGTGTCAATCGTGTCGCCCGCCCGTACCCCACCAACATGACTCTCGCCCCATCCTCTCCTCTCGTTCTTCGATCCACAAGCCACTCTACCCCCCGGGATCAAACAAACAATCGTCACGTCCAGCGCCCCGGCTTTGTAGGGATGCGAGGTCAATGGTCTACCGACTAGGGCATGCATGACTATGAGTACACCCCCCCTCCTCCAGCCTAGAGAGAAAAAGGGCCAAGGTGATAATGCCTGCCTGCTCTAGAGACATTTTGCACCCGTCGAAACCTCTCGACCAACAAAAAAAAAAAGATTACCGGTGGCGAGAGACCCTCTCGGGCATTAACGTATGCAACGCACGCGCACGCTCTCTTCCCTAAACTAATCCTACCTATCGTCTGACTGGGAGAACAACCAAGCCTACATCAAAGCCTTCCTTCCACCAATCAATCCGCGAAGAAGCTTCTCTGATCCTCTACAACTCTCGTGAAGTTCCTTCCATACGATCCCTCGAATGTTCACAGTTATTTCCGCGAACCAATCAAACAAAGCCCTCAATGGCTCTAAAGTACCTTGTCTTCCTCCAACGGTACCGCATCAAAAACCATTCCGCGTCCCATTATTTTTCAAGAAAAAAAATAATTCACACGAAAATTTCGCGCGGTCCATTTGGGAGACGTGGCCATAATCATGGTTAGGCTTCGCGCAAGAAAAATCGCGATTTCAAGACACTGCAAAATTGTCAGAGACCGTCCTCTACGAACAGAGGCCTTGACAAAAACACACACGCCTCCAACCGGGTGGGGAAACCCAGAATCAAATACCGTCCACCGCGGAGACAAGAAAGATACGAAATATCCACACCAAGCCGCTAAATGACATTTTCCTTACCAAAAACTGCAAGAGATTCCGCCGGAGGCTATGATAGATAGCGTACGCAGCAGCTTCTGCTTTTATATGAGCTAGAAGAAAAGAAAACAGAAAAAAAGACGATCAAAATCATTGCGTCCAGAGGGGGGGAAATCCGATGCTGCGGTAGACCTCAGCAGCAGCCCCTTGCGATGAAAAATTATGAGGGCACCCCTTCTCCCCGCCACATGGGAAGAAGCATCTCCCAGCAAGGCCGTATGGGTACCCACCCATATTTGAAGGGTCCATGAAGATCGATCTCCTTGATGACCGTACCTCCACACGGGGGAATAATCGTGTACCAGGATATGGATACCCACGCTTCCCCTTTGGGGTCCTTGACAATCTCCTTGATAACCCCGTGCCGCCACATGGAACCACACTTCTGCGTGGTACCCACCGTCCCCCCTTAAGGGTCCTTGACGATCTCCTTGATGACGGTACCCACGGTCTCCGCCAAGTCATCTCCCCCTTCCACCACCGTGCCCGCCCCGGCCACCGCCGCCGCGAGCGACAGCATCTTGCTCTGGAGCGCGGGGCCCACGCTCGTCCAAGTGCATGCCGAAACGATCAGCACAGCCCCGAGCCCCGTGTTCCAGCCGATGCTCTCGCCGAGGAGGACGGCGGCGAAGGCGGTGCCCCAGATGGGCTCGGTGGAGAGGATGATTGTGGACTCCGCCGCGGAGACCTTCTTCATCGCCACGGTCTCGCCGAACACGGTCAGGGAGGTCGTCACGAGGCCCTGGAGAGGGACCAACAGAATCGCCGGAGGAGGAGAGCCACAGAGAGACAGACGGGACATTTAGAGACAGACACACAGACAGACACACAGACACAAAGACAATACATACAACATACATACATACATACATACATACATACAGAGAAGGGGAGATAAGACAACGATTTTTGTACAAATCGTCGACATGACAACTAAGGATACGCCGCAAAGGCAGCAGCGTGCCAGATGAAGAAAAACATACATCAAGAGTCAAGGGTAGGAAGCTCATGTGCGCGCGTGTCTGTTTGTCTGTGTTCAATTTCAACGCGCGAGAAGGACAAGGCAGTGCCCTCCGTCCTTTTTTCACGAACTCATGACACATGCTTTCGACATACATCTATGCCAAATCGGCTCGAACCCACCACCTAGATTGGTCACATAACCATTTTGATGAGGCTAGCGCACCATCTGATTCATCCCCTCAGGGCGACCGTCATGGGTATCCACAAAAAAAAAAAAACACCTCACAAGAATATTCAAATAATCTTAATCTGAAAAAACACTTCCCGGATTCTTTTTCTTATGCCAAGAAGAGATGTAATTCGGTGTGTTTCTGTACAAACATTTCTCATCTGTCTTAAGACTCTTTTCTACCGATAGAGATGGATTCGTTGGGTTATTTACTGAGAAAATAAATAAATAAATAAATAACAAAAAAAAAAAAACTCACCGTCCACATAAGCGAGATCGGCACCGCCAGGTTCCCTGACGAAGGGAGCACCGTCTCTCGCAGAGACGCCAGGGACAGCGGCAGATCGCCCGCCTGGGCGCACCACCCCACGGCGAGGACGGCGACCGTCAGGAGCTGAGCCGCGACCAGCCCGAAGATCTCTTCAGGGTACTTCCTGGAGCAGCGCTCGGTCAGCCAGAAGCCCAGACCGAAGCTGTGTTTTTTTTTAGGGGGGGGAGGGGGAGTAGTGTGTTTGGTGAGCACGTGAAGAGAGAGAGAATGGTGAGACGCTGTCAGCAATGTCATCTACGGCATATGTCGGCGAGGGAAAAAAAAACTTGTCTCCACTGGTAGGCTAGTCCTGCCTGCTTCGAGGAACGTTTGGCTCCAAATCACGCGAGTTTGAGGTTCCAATGTCTGGACTGTTGGCTCCACGAGAGCTGAGGCCTCGCAAGCCCCAATTCAATGTAGACGCGATAAAAATCACCCCTCTAATCAGTACTCCGAGTTTTGTTTATCCTGGACATCAGTTTCATACTAGGCCTAACACTTTTCGGTGTGTTGTGGACGCATCAACCGCAAGTGTTGGTGGTCTGCAGAAGCAGCCAATTATATAATACCTATCTTAGGGCATTACACCGCCACAAACACTCGTCTTCAAACGGAGACGCGGGATCTCAGAGAGCAGAGCACACACTAGTCACTCACAAAATTTCACCCATGAACGCACGACTTTCATCGCCTCGCCTCTCCAACCCCACCCCCCCCCCGCCATGATCCTCCGTCCTCTTGAGGACGCGTGGTCCACACGGTCTGACCGCTAAACATGAGAATTCGCCCCCCCCCCCCCCCCCCCCCAGAAAAAAAAAAGGTGAAACCACAACCCCCCCCCCCAC